CCCCCCCCCCCCCCCCAAAGAAAAACAGTTGGATTCAGCAAAAAGTTTAGATGTCCTGGAAATATTGGATTCCCTCTGGAGTGGTGTTCAGAATCGTAATAGGCTCTCCCTCAGTATCACCCCCCCGCCCCCCCAAAGACCTGCTTGCTCTCATTCCAAAACCACAAATATGAATAAAACGGCTCGTACTTGTGCTCTGTAATATCTGATACGCTGAGCTATCGGACGATGACACTGGAGCAAACGTTGTAAATAAAAGATGCTCTCATTCTGCAAAGGCTTTTGTGTTTTTAACATTCATAACCAAAAGCCCTGGCCTCATCCCCCGAGCCAGCAGTCGCCTCTCATGCACAGTGCGATTACTTTTATTTTGTTGCTGAATCGGATATCCAGTGCTCTCTCTCTCTCCTTTATCCTTCTTCTGTACCTGTGCAGTTCAGGTTAAGTGCCCCCCACCCAGCCCTTAGACAGTGGCTCCCCTCCTGGGTCACTGACTAACTACCTTCAAACTCGCCAAGATCAGCTGCTGGTGCGGAGGACAGCGAGGTGGTCATGTGACCGCAGGTGGTCATGTGACTGCAGGGTGGCCGGGTCACTTCCAGTGTGCTCCCAAGTGTAAGACTCCTGACTCCTCCAGCAAACTGCTAAACTTGAGTCGCTCTTGAAATATCTCACTGACTGGGGAGCAAATTTCAAGTTGCTTTGGATAAAATTGAGGAAAACTCTGGCCCTGAGCTCTCACGCTCCCTAAACTCCACGCGTGCTTGGAGAGGGTATATTTCACCCTTTCTAAAATCAACACCGTTAAGGTCACCCTGCTCTAGTGTTTTCTACAAACACAACGGGGTTTACAAACCAGCCAGATGCACACTGTGGGAAATCATGTATTTTTACTCATACATTATTTCTAAAATGTTGTTACGCTACTTTTACATGTTTCGTACTTTGCCACACTCTCCCTTACTCATGTTTGGATGTCACCAGGGCGGTGACCTCTCACATGGACTGAGAGGTTATTTTACGCACAGCCCTGACAGCTTCCTTAGGTCTTGTCTTCGGGAAAAACACTGCAGTGTGACCCTGGCTCTTTTCCCATCGATTCACAGGTGCATTTTCTTATTCCCTCTTGTTTCATATTTCTATTGTTTTATCTGCAGTGCATTAAAGTCACTGCACCACAGGATGCGACCGTCTCCAAAGCTTGGATATCCGGTAAATTTTTCAGCTGCCGTTTCCGCAAGTGACCACAGTGCTCATACACATGCAGACAGTTAATTCAATGTTCCCCTTCGAGCCTTGTCCAGTTCACCAGGATGGAGAAGTGGCACTCAAGAAAAGCAGACGTGGTAGACAACATACATTGGGATCTGCTGAACAGCCCTGGGGGGAGGGGGGCCGAGATTGGTAATTCAGGTCCAGAGAGTAAAAGTCAAGACCAAGATTTTGTTTCAACAAAACCAGCTGAGTTCTCTGTGACTGTGACTCTTTATGCTCTACTGGTTGGTTGAAACAAAATCTTGGTCTTGACTTTTACTCTCTGGACCTGAATCACCCATCTCTGGAGGGAGGGGGGTATTTATTAAAGCCTGCTGGTTACTGGTAACTACTGGCTCTTTTGACAGGAGGGAGGCAAGTATTCCCACATTCCAGAGGACAACCAGTGGGATTCTGCTTTGCAGGCCGGCATGGGGTTGGGAAGTCAAGGCAAAAGCAGGTAGGGGTCCCTGTCAAAATGACAACATGTCCGGCCTGGTCTGGGGGGGTGGAGTGACAAGTCGTCAAGGAAACGGAGAAGGAGACGAAGGCAGTTCTAATGCGAATCAAAATTCGATGCGCTTTTCTACTTTAAATTTTTTTTATTTTTACTACAAGCCCTTAAACAGAAATATAATTTATGTATGTATTTTGACCACAAGCGTTAATAAATAACATGATGCTGTTAAGTGAATAAACACCGAAATTACTCCAACTCTATGAATGGGTAAACATTTAAAAATCACTGGGTAGAAGTGTCAACTAAGCAATTAAATGAATAAGTAAATGAACTGGGTAAAGTAAAAAAATGTTAAACTGTTGTGAAAATTTGCTGTGGCTAATTGACCAGCTAAAAGCCCAAGGTTGAAGGAAAACGGAAGGAGACGAGCGGCGGACTTACACTGGCCGCCTGAATCCTGCTGAGAGCGCGCCTCGTGCACTGCGCTGAAACTTACAACAGGCGCTTCCACCACACAGTCCAGTCAGTAAACTCATTTTATCGTCAAATGCACTAGCTCATTTATTTTCTCCTTTAAGTTGCAACAAATATTTGCAGAAAAATTATGAGACCTATAGAATCCTCTACGTTTTTAGAATTCGGGTTTAGACCAGAGTATTCTATTTATGCCTGGTATACATTTACAAAATGGGACACGCTTTTAATACAAATATATACAAGAAATATATTTTACATACAGTACGAAGTGTACACATTTAATAACTTCCTTGAGAACACGGCTACTTAAATTAAAATACTTGTACAAAGAGAAATATATTCGTCATTTATCTTGAACGCCATCTTGCGGAGAAGAGCGTATATTTGACTCTGCATGCTGTACCGCGTTTTCCCTGTTAGATATATTTTTAATTGCTGTTATCTCCAGAAGAGAACGACGTGAATGAGAGGAAATATGAAATGCTGTGAGTCTTATTTTAAAGGTGTGCATAAATGCATTTGCCAGGCAATTTATGTAATTGTACCTTTAATTTGTGAAAAGTAGGCCTATTATTATTATTATTATTATTATTATTATTATTATTATTGCTATGCATTACTAGCTGCATTACTATAAATTATGTTTCCGTATTGTGATATTTTATATTTAATTTTACGCAGTAAGATGTGACAATTCCCGGACCAGTATCCCACGCACGTTTGGAATTACAGTCAGATTCAATCGGCGCAAGTAACCAACTTTCTAGAGCCATTTATATTTTAAGCATATTATACGGGAAAGCAATTGGGGCTCGCGCTCCATTCTGTACAGCGGCGGGATTGCGCTCTAGGGACCGAGCTTGCTTAGAGCTCTTATAAAGCAATTTGTTTTAGAAATACGGTAAAGTTACCCTTAGAGAGCAACGCTTAAGGAGGCAAGAAGCGAGTTATCCATAAGAGATGCTTAAATAAAGCGATAGTGGACGGATTTTGACGCCCTAGTTTTTGAAGCACCAGGCGCATTTTTTTTGAGGTTTAAAATGCTTTCGGCAAACCGATCCCCCAAACGGCAATGATAAGATATCTGAAAAAAGTGGCACCTGTATCATCAGTGCAGGAGTGATCTGGTGTTATTTGCAAATCCACTGCAATTTGCAAGGTTAATTTCAAGGCGGATGGACCGTCCTAAGGAGCCCCGACACATCGCCGGAGGAATCGCACAGCGCCGCGTCCGCGCCATGCTGCCGGGCACACAGAGGGACTGTTGTTCGCGTTAAATCGTTTCTTTAATTTTAGCAAAGGGACTTGCCATTGACGTCAAAGCAATGCAGAAGGAGAGTTATAACTGTGCAGCCGAGGACACCGCGCGCACATGTCACCGCCTGGAAAGCCACGATTTCTCCAGTGAAATGATTTTCAGCAGGAGAATGCCTGCATCTTCATGCTGATTTCCACTCAAAAGCCAAGATCAACGAAGGACCGAATTTGCCAGGAATAAAGTTATGAATTGCCCTTGTGAACTTATTCCTTGTCCAGGTGAGCAAGCGATCGCAGAGCGTGTAATTTGGTCGATCTTGATGGTTAAGAATTGACGAGGGTCGCAGCTGTTGATCATTATCGCCAAAGTCTTAATTAATTTCACCGACGCGGATGATCGGACAGCTACGAGGGCGATGCGTGGCGGCTGTGCTCGCTGACAAGACGACTTGTTGTGTTTGCACCGCCGTGCCGCGACAACGACACAAGGATTCATTGACGGCCACTGGGGAAAGACTGGAGGAGCATATCAAACAGTATGTGCCGATGAGTGAAACGGTGGGGGTATAAGCGATAGAAGGGGTGGAAAGGGGGGAAACGAGAGGCGTTAGGGTTTCCAGCGACGGGTAAGTGGAGATCGTAGCCGTGGGTCTGGCGAAGGAGAAGTGAAGCAGAGACAGTGGTGCGGCGGGGCGCACTGGCAAGCAGCGTGCATCCCGCATGATCATTGATCGGGTCGCCGCTCTCAGAGCATCTCCGCTAGAGACGGGCTGAGCGACCGAAACGACGCCACCGAACAGCACGGCCATGAGCACCGGGGCGTTTTGCCTGTTTGTTTTATCCGCGGCGTTTCTCGCCGGGCTGCAGTGCGCATCGCAGAAGAGCTCGATGGGGATCGGGGTAACCCTACCCAGCACGGCGCTGGCAGGCAGCGGGGAGGCCAGCGGGAAAAAAGACGCCAACCAGACGCACACCTCCAGACGCAAGAGGAAGAACCTGTCCGTGGATTTCGCCGTTCCCTCTCTCTTAAGAAACTACCTGTCTGAATTCATAAAGCGCCCGCTGAACGGCGACTGTCAGCATGCAGACGGATGCTACGCGGTGCGGGCAAACTTAAGGATGCAGTGCGTCCCCCTGCAAAAGACAGTCTCCAGTTTGTTGGAGACCAAGCTGAGCGCCGCCGACTCCCCCGACAATGTTTCAGCCGCCGGACAGCTCCCGTACAGGAACAAGCGGCCGCTGTCCAGGGTCCTGAATTTCGCGCTGACCAAGGACAGTAGGAAATCCAATCAGGTGGTTATAGAGATCGGGGAAGAGAGCGTCCGCACGGGCTGCGGGGGTCTCTCTGTGGACGGGGACCCCCCACAGGCTACACTGGAAATAGACCTCACCCGCATTTTGGAGTGGTGGCTGGGAGCCGGAGGGGGACGACTCAGGGTTAGGCTCATACCCGAGAGGCGAGCACAAGTCCCGGGAAGAGAGGAGAAGTACTCGGCCGCGATCCGAGCGGCTGATCCCCGCCTCTTCCTCCAGATCGCTTCCCGTGGTGAGAAACGCTCCTTTACCATTCTATTTTGCTGCGGATATATCGACTGAAATAGCGGTGTCCGACGAATATCATGGGTTCTGACTTGAACAAAGTTTTGCCATATGATGACATTCGTTTTTGATCTGGAATTAGGGAAAAGGTGCGTTGCTCCAATGCGCATTTTGCGCAGATTTGCTTCCTGGTGCTGCTTTTGCACAAGTCGTCGATTTAAGTTATTAAGCTGCTAGAATAACCTGGTGTTGTATTTGTGAACTTTTCCTGTGAATTGAGCGTCAGTTCCAGCTTCACTGGGGGCACCTGTTCCCTGTTTGGCGGGGAAATAGCCCGACCCGAGCACCGCGCCGTTTATGCACCACAAGCACGTTTGATGCATGAAAAGGTTTAAGGGGATAGAAAAACCAATAATGTTTCATAATTAATTTTATGTAGAGTGAAACAAACGTATGGCCTAAGCAGATTAATATAACCGAAATTTGTCATATGTGTGCCTTAAAACACCACCTGAATCGACTAGCTCAGAAAGTTGTCCAGGCTGTGACTATATGACGTGTGCAATGTGGCAGTATGATCTCAAATTTCCAACAGGGATTTTTAAACGTACAAAAACACGTGTCTTAGCAGTTGAAATAGCGTATAGTGCATTTTAAAAAAATGAAATCGGGTTATTTTAAAACTTCCTTAACTTCCACTTCAACCGAATAACACTGCCAATCTCGAATAAATGTTTTGTTATGAATAAAGCTATTATTTATAGACAAATAAAATAATTAACTGGGCTTAACGTTTTCCCTCACAGCACCAGCGGGATCACTCGATGCTTTAGAGCAATCAATTCCGCTAACTGCCAGTCAGCTTCATTATAGGTCCGTACCCTGCAATAAATTTGACTGTATATCGCCTGTCTGCTCTGTCAAAAGAGAAAAAAACTCAAGCACGTCGTTTTACTTATTTAATCTCGCAATGCGGAATTATTTCAATAGTTAGAAACATAACATCATTCTGAGTTCTTTCCTCTAGCCATCATTATAATACTTTCCAAGGCTGCTATTGCAAGGACGAAATTTCGCCTTCTGGTTTATGGTTTACGACGGAGAAAACGGTGCCTTGTGATGATTCGGATTCGGCGCCCATGCTGGGTTGTCCCCTGCCTTGAGCCCGTAGCCCCCGGAATAGGATGCGGACCCCCCGCAACCCTGAAGCGGTTTTGTTGATGGATGGACTGATGGAAGTAACGCCCATAAAGGGAACCTATTCTCCCTAAACAGGGTTTCTAAAACTTCATCCAAACGAATATGAAATGTACTCCACTGGTGTTTAATTTGCCTGGATGATTCAAAGGGATGCATCACCTAATATGAGCCTTAATGAGGGCAAATGATTATCGACAATATAACGCAGCGGCCATAATTGAAATATATAAGCCTATAATTATTCCAAATCGGCTATAATTAAGGCCTAACTACAGAATAATACATTAGCTTTCCTACAAACCATGCGTCTGGAATAAAAGTCAGCTAATGATGGGTGATAAATAGATTTTAATTGTGTTTAAGGTGAGTGTGCACTCTCTCTCGATTAACTGCTTCAGGAGACCTCATCAGCTTCTGAGATCGAATAGAAAAATCACTTCCCGCTGCTTAAGGCCTTGTATGTGTCCCCTAACCCTACTGACAATAACTCCATGTTAGTGGACTTTTGACCAAGACCTAAGTGTCACATGACACTTCCAATAGGACCCTGACTGTAGGCTAGTTTGTCCTTGTCATGATTTTTACCCCAGTGAGCTTTTTTCTAAAAGTAACGGATTCGGCCCGCAGCACTATTCACATTGCTATGCAATGCAGCCTCTTGGCATGTGAGCGGATTCCTGAGATGGTCTCCCGGAACCGGCTGTTGGACCTTAATATGGCCGTAGACTAACTGACATGTGACTGCACCTTTGTTTCCTATCGTCTGAAAGCCGGTTCCTGTGCTTAATAATGTGCTGATATCATTTAGCTTGAGGATCTTCATGGAAGCTTTTCATATGCTAATTGTAGGTTTACTCCTGTTCCCAGTGGACAGACTTGTGCCTCGGCAGTAAATAGAGCTAATTAGTACCAGGACTAATTTTAAAGAAGGTGCTTATTAGTGTATATGGAACATACTCACTGCTGCTAAGCAATTTACTCCTCTTTTATGCTACTTGCTTCTACAGAAATTCACTAATTCCTCATATCCTCCCCACCTTGTCGTTATATGGTACAAATTAAGCCATATATCATGGACTGGATGAGGTTCATTCAGCCTGAAATCCATGTAAATTTTGTTGATAGGGGAAGCGCACTGAGGGATAGTAACTCCTCCGTAACACCTTTGGTGCATGAAGCGTCTGCTCTGCATGAATCATTCATACAGGAAAACTCCGTGATGGCTGACAGGATAGTAAAAATGCATCATTCTGCGAGTGTTATCGCAGGCAAAGCCCAGCTTTGCATTGCCTTGTGGTGACTTATGTGCCGCAGTTTAGAGTGAAAATAATGTGTTTGCCTTTCAAAGGTAGCAGAGAAATATGCAAGAATTCACAATGGGATTTTCTGACTTCATACACATGGCTCATGACCTATGACCTTTCATTGGTACTTTAGAAGGCCAGGATCTTATTATGAGGTGCTAGCTTCGAGGGGGGTGGAATCTGTCCCCAAAGTGACATTAAAGGTGGCCCAGCGCTCAGAGCACCTGCCACTGCTGGGAATCGATGGCCACTTGACATTTAAAGCTTGTATCAATCTGGCATTAATGGCTAAATCAATGTGTGCTGAAATGGACAGAGAGGGTTCATTATATGAAGATTTCAATAATCATTTGGTGTGAGAAGTGACCAATTTCAAACAATAAAGCACCCTTATCAGAGAATATGGCCTTTGGCATTAGTGAGGCACGACTCTAAGTGTTATGATGCATATTTACTGTCCCTCAAGTCTGCCTGACGGCAGTGTAGTCTGGTTGGCGGAGACCCAAACAGCGGTCGGTGAACATTCATGGGAGAAAGTCTGTGTGATCTGTGCAGGACTTGGCCTCATCAGGAAATTTGCTTATTTATGCTACTTTAAGGTCAGCATTCTTTGTATTAGATATGAAGTATTAGATTAGATTTTCCGTCCATCTTTCCTGTTCAGGGTCATGCGGGGGGGGGCAGTGCAGGCCTGAAGGCTGGGATACAGCCAGGATGGGATGTAAGTCTTCCTGTTTAACAGGAGGAGAGCACACAGAGGGAGGGGTAGGGTCCCCTGGGTAGCCCCCCAGGCCTGGAGGTGTGAGGTGACAGCATACCCAGCACCAAACCACCACGCGCCACGTCATTGAACTTTCACCGGCATGAAGCTGGAAAAGGCAGCATGTTGAGTTGATGTGTGAGCATGAAGGCAGCTTCTTAGCTGCTGCGTCTCTGACATTGTGGGCACAGCCTTCAGTCTGGCCGCTCGCAGGCCGGCGTGGGGGACTGACTCACTCATGGACTTCGCCTTTGCCCTTGACCGCAGTCTACACCTTGTTTTTAGCAAGCAAGCCCACGCTTTCTGTGTCAGTCATGTTAGTGTGCCCAGGGGGGGGGGGGGGGGGCAGCCAACTGACCTTGGACCCTCAGAGGTTTTTTTTTCTCCTTACTTGGGAGTTTTTGGTTCCTCTCCTCCATTGTCATCTGGCATTCCATCTTTCTTTTCTTTGTCTTTCCTTTTGCCTGTTTTTGAGTTATTCTGTATAAATGCTGTGACCCTGAATAAGACAAGCAGTTACAGAAGATGGATGGATGGATGGATGGATGTTGTAGGAATGCATTACAACACCCAAGTAAAGCACCTAGGGATGAATCTGTGGTGAAAGGTGCTATATAAAAAAGAATGAATTGAATTTAACTTAGTTTCATGCTAATTCATACAGCAGAGTGTTTTCCTGGAGTAATTCAGGGTTCCTCAGCAGTAAGCTGGGGGGGGGTGAGCGTTTTTGATAAGGGGGGGCGGGCAATCAAAGTCACTGACAGGGGGCGCTGTTTGGATGTCTCCCGGGGGGGGGGGGCTTGTACCTAGAGCAGGTCTGTCACCCAGCACTATTCATAGACAATTTCCAAGACATCTCTACAGAGCTGGACAAAGGCGGAATGCTGTTGTCCTGGTTTCGTTGAATGGAATGCCGGTATAGAGAAGTCATGGCAGAGATAAGCAATGTCTTTCAGTAAGTTGAACTTTGACCCCACAATCATGCAGCGTATACATGCGCGTATGTGTGTGTGTGTCTCCACACTGTTTTGTCAAACTCTTCCCAGTTGTTGGAATGCTTGCTCCAGCAGTCGGGAATCATGGCCCGTTCCTAATACGCCAAGCAAATGGACTTTTTAATAGATTCCCATTTTTCCATTTTCCATTTTCCATTTTCCCCCACATTAATTCCTCGTGTTCTCTCTCTTGCGTCAGTCACTAAGGCTTCATGCCTGACGTACTTCGCTGCCTTTATGGAAGAAATGTAAATGTTGCATTTAAAAATAAAAAGCACATTTATACCTATCATTCAGGAAATCTATAGGCACCTATTTTCCAAATTGAAAATAAATCAGTGAGTATTTCCCATAAATGTTAACATTTGATTGCATCGTCCGAAACATTTCGAATATTAACATGAAGATCAGCCACTCAGGGATTCTGCTGCACTCTAATGACTTTGTACTATGGACTGAGCCACGAATGCAATTGTGTTCATAGTCCTTGTGATGAATCTTTTATGCCCTTTTGTCCAGAGCAGAAAGGAGACTTGATTTGTTTGTTTTTTCTCTGTATAGTTTCTGGAAATGATCCAAATATTATGAAATTCAGCCTCAGTGATCTTAATTTCATAATATATTAAAATGGTTAATTTTAATGGTATTCTGTGTGTGTTGATGCTGCCGTCGCCCCCTTATGGTCTCTTCCTGATCAGAGGCCTTTCCTGTTCCCTCCTTTGGCTACACCGCAGCCGGTTCCCAATCC